ATATGAAAATAATAAAATGATCCCAAAATGGCCCTAAGCTTTTCTCAAGTTGTCACTGATAATTTTTCTTTTTGAGAAACGTTTCTCATGCACAACTTGAAATTTAGATTGACCTCCTTATCTTGCCACGCGCATTACACCAGTGAAGTTTTTATTGTACCTAAGTACGAGAGGTTTGTTAATCTACAGGAATCATGGCTGGAACCCAACATAAAAGCCATGAAAGTTGCCATCTTACTCAAAAGCACAAAGAATTCTCGTGTGCTTTTTTTATTTGTTAAATAATTTCACTAATGTGTGATTCTTAGATTGCTAATTGTATTACAATGAGAAAAAAATCTAGGCATGACCACACGGTTACAGTTACGTATATTTAAATGATGCAGTTCATGATAGAAAAGTCTAAATGATTATAATATGTATATTATATGAAAGGCTAGCGTTTCAGCCAACCAGCTGGAACCAGTTTTCCAGCCGGCCTCTTTTGGCCGGACGGCACTCCAGCCGGCCTAATTCCACTAGGAATGCCTCCACCTTGCTTGCTTCCACGCGGTCTAATTCTTCCCATCCTGCATCCACCCGACTTAATTCCGCCGGGCCACCTTTTCAGTTGGCCGAACCGAAGCTCCTATCCGGCGGTCGACGAGGTAGCGAGTGATATGCACCAACACAAAAGCCCAAAATAGCTTGTGTCACCCTGCATAATGCAATGGTAAGTTTGTAATATTATTTTCTATCTTTTCCTCTTCTATAAATAGTAAAGCTTGGAATATTAAATATGTCTCTCTTGGGCTATCCTTTTAGTCCCATATGACTTAGTGGAATAAAAAAGGCCAAAGCCCGGGAACACGCCTTCCCCCGTCCCTCTTTTGGGCTATCCATTCAGTCTCATATGTAGAAAGAACTCTCACTTTCCCCTCTCTTGTAATCCTAAAGTTCAGTGGAATAAGAAAGGCCAAAGAGCCCGGAAACACATCTTCCCACCCCCTCCCCCCACCTCAAGCCAAGCATTTCTCTCTTTCTTTTTCTTTCCTTGGGTTCTCACACTCTTTTCCTTGGGCATGATCTACAATAAATATCTGATTTCAACATTAGTATGGTGAGCGTGGACAGTGCCACTAACAGAATGAGGAACATACCAAAAGGGGAGAAAATTCTAAATATATTAACAAAAAATAGAGATGGGAAAAGCCAAAAGAAAAAAAAAACAAAATAAGTAAAAGAAAAAGCAAAAAGAAAAAAGAAGAGCGAAGAAAAAAATCTCCATCGCACTCTAAACATACAACAACACATCTTGTGTTCTATATTTTGAGTCATTCATTTTATTGATGCTATGCTTTCAAGAAATAAAAGACTTGGGGGCTTCATATATGACAAAAAACATTAGGAATTGTAGCATTTCTTTCTTTCTTTCTCTTTCCATGTTCTATGTCTTGGGCATGGTCTACAGAACAAATCTGATTTCAAAACACACACACACACACACACGTAGTTCCACATAAGAATAACTACTCGATAGTTCCACTCAATGTTTTGCAGGTTTTATGGCTTAAATCTAATACCTAAGTTGCTCTCGAGAGATGTTTCAATAGGTTTTTATGGGTTGGTGGCAAATCAAATAAAATTTGGATGGGATGAAAAAAACTATGTATGCCTTTGTTTGCATGTGGCTTGGGGTTCATGGAACTCCACCAATTTGGTGAAATCAACCATATAAAGATATGGTTTAAATTTAGGAAGGATGAATCACTATAGTTTAAGTTTTTACATTAGAAATATTGCACCTTTTCTCATCCTTATTTTGTGGTTTTGAAAGTGGGGGATTCTAAACTCTAGAAAACTCTTTTAAATGCAAGATTGATTGCATCAAAATATGTATATTAGGATAGTGGATAGGGAACTGTATCATTTTGGAATGACTAGTGGGATGGTGAGGAGCTGGAATCCTGCTTTTCTGGAGCTACTGTCAATTCTGTGGTAACTGAATTTTGAAATGATGAGGAATGGAATTTTCCCTTACTCAGGGAACATGTGGGAAATAATGCTAATTATATTTCCAAAATCCTAATAAAACATGAATAAAAAAGATGCCATGCTTCTTAAAACTCCAAATAATGAATCTATTTCTAAATTCCTTTATGATGAGCTACATCAATTTGATTGGGTAAGTTGGAGAACTAAAATTTGGTTTACAGCTTTATCCCCATCCATGTCATTCTTAATTTGGAGAAATTTCCATAAGCTTTTGCCTTATGATGATATACTCAAATTAAAGGGTTTGAAAGTTGCTTCCCAATGTCATTTATGCAGGAGGGATGAAGAAACATCATGTCATATATACTTTAACTTTACCTTTGCTCTGCAGATTTGGAAATCAATTAGGGAGTATTTCAAACAATTATTCCTCTTATGTGGAGGGATCGAAATGAATGTTGTGATACATGGAATGTTGATAATAGAGTGCATCATTTTATGGAGATATTCTTATATCTATGTGGTTTATATGGATGGTCCTGAATTCATGCAAACATCATGGGGTGTCTACTCCTATAAATTTGATTATTTTTAATATTTTATCTTATGTTCATAAGATAACCAAACTATCATTATAAAAAGTTATTCTAAGAAGGAATTCTCTTTCCACAGATGGTGGGTAATACAACAATTGGAAATTTCTCTATTCTTCCCAAGTTGGTGAGATGGTTGCCTCATTCACCAAATTGGGTTAAGGTAAATACTGATAGAAGTTGGGGGAAGGATATTATTGGTGCTGGAGGAGTGTTCAGGGATGATAATGGAAAATTCATGTGCTATTATGCATCACCACATACTCTGGAAGACAAATGTTGGGATGTTTAGTTAGCAGTTGTTATTGTTGGTTCTGCTAAATGGTCTTTTCTGCAAGTTGAGGTTGATTCATTTTTATTGTTCGATTTCACTCTGAGAAAAAAAGAGCCACCATGGAATATTGTTATTTTTCAAAATAGAATCTCGACATCTATTGACGAGTTGAAGCTAACTATTGAGTGGAGTTTTATTTATGAGGAAGGGAACAAGTCGACACATTGGATGTCAAAGGTAGGTACCAATTGAATTACTGTGGGTTTTTTCCCTCCAAAGGAACTGAAGAATTGCTGCTGGGGCACATTTTAGAGCTTCCTTACCTAAGATACTGAGCCCTTCTGTTCTGGTTTTTTCTTTATTTGGATTGGGATTGTAGTGTGAATATAAATTAGAGGTAGAACCTTAGGTTTTTCTTTTAAGTGAGTTATATTTTAGGATTGGCAAGATTAACATCCAGAAAATTGTAATTTTTTCCAATTACTAATAAAATTCTTTACGGGGTTCTCTATTATAAATATAT